GCCCTGTGCTGGCATTAAGCTTTTAAACTCTGAGCTTTAATAGAGATTTTCCAGAAGATTGTCAAGATTAATTTGGATTCAGGTCCTGCTCAGCCTGCCCAGCTTTAATTTTAAAGCAAATAATGTGAGRAGGAAACCAATGAGCATTTCCTTGCAGTGGCTGAGCAGCTTGGATTCAACCTGTGGCTCATTAGAAAGGCCTAAGGCAAGCAAATTAATATTTATTTCTTTAAATCTTGTRGTTTATGAAGTTAGGAAAAGGATTTCTTCCAGTTGGAGCACCTGTAGGAAGGTCCTTAAAAAATGTTACTTCTCATTGGGTCTTCCACTTGGGCTCTGGGCATCTTTAGCTGTCTCAAACTCAGTTTCAATCCCATCTGGAACATTAAATGCTCATTTTTAGATCCCATTTGGCACATTAAATGCTCATTTTAAAATCCCATTTGCTACATTGAATGCAGATTTTTAAAGATGCTTTCCTTCAAAATGTTTCTAAGGAAAAACAGGACAAATCCTGAAAAGAAGGAGCATTTCAATTGTTGACTTTATTCTTAGCTTTTTTTTTGTGGGGGTTGGTTGTTTTTTTTTTTCTTTCCTGTATTAATGCCTGAATACAAATGCTCTTGTTAAGAAATAAATGGAATGAAAAGTAAGGTGTAAATGGTGGCTGCCCACAGAAAAGTCAGTGGGGTTGGACAGGATTATTTCCTGCTGATATTGGTCTAAAAAGTCCCTCTCTAATTGTGTCATTATCCCATTAATATAATTATCACCATCTCCAACAGCAGAGCTTCACGTGGGAGCAATGCACAGCAGAAATTAAACTTTTGGGGGTGAAATAGGGATATTCATGKATTTACTCTCATTTATCCAGCTGAAAATAAGTGTGGCTGGATTTCCAGGGCTCCCTGGAAACATCATGGTTTTTCCAGGGTTTCCCCCAGCAGGAATCCCGATGGCTCAGGGCAGCTGCTGCTTCTTAGGGCCACCCTTGGGTGTCCAGTCCTTTCTTCTGAAGGTCAGGAGAAAACCATAAACCTGCCTAAGAAATTTCCTGCCTAAGAAATGCAGGAATACCTTCCCAGTGTGTCCTGGGCTGGAATGCTGCATCCTGCCATGCTCCAAGGAATAGGAGACCAAGGAAACCTGGAATAACTCTCCAAGGAATAGTACACTAAGAAAACCTCTGATAACTCCCCTGATTTATATGAAACAACTCTTCTGGAGCCAGCAGCAAGTCAAGCTCCTCTTTTTCTAATTTTTCTGAGGAACCAGTCCGTGTCTCCCTTCCCAAAGTCAAGGGATGATCCTTGGCAGGATCAAAAGCCACCCTAATTCCCCAGCAGCACCTGCTCCAAGGAGAGCTGGAAAACCAGGCTGGTTTTTGATCCCTGTGTGTACTCTGCAAGGCAAATCCTGCCAGTGATTCCCTTTGAAAGGCAGATTTTTGGTAGCTCATTATGGGAATAAATCAATGTTAGATCAAGGTAGTTCATAGAGCAGCCTGCAGTGAAAAGGGAAATGTGATTTTGTGCTGTAGGTTTAGTAACTCCTGATGGTACAGGGGGGTTTTGTTGAATTTATCTCTCATATTTACCCCAGACTGGGCTTTTTGAGTGTCATTTGGAATTGTCCTTACACAGTGCAGTGAGGTCACGGCAGTGCTGAAATCCACCTCTCACTGCAATATTCATTGTTACAGCCTTTCCATGGTTTCCCTCTCAAGCCAGCCCTAARAACCATTCCATTTCATTAAAATCACATTATTTCAGTCAAGGAAAAGCTACTGATTAAATAAATTTGGCCAGGGACTAAAAGATGGGGAAAAGCCTTGTGCTGTGGCAAGAATTTCCCGCTAAACCATCCACGTTTAAAGACCAGAACGATTTGAAAGGGTAAATACTGCATTTTTTTTTTTTTCTTCTGTAAAAATGCTTCCTAAATAAAAAAAAGTTTCCTTCAGTTAAGAGGCTGCAGGTTCTGTTCCATTGTGTAAATTCCAATTCATCCAAGGTCCTGGAAGTAGTCAGGAGAGGTGGTGGGGGATGTTTGGGGTCTCCTTGGAGGCAGGTTCGAGCTTTAGGGGTGGATACTGGGGGAAAATTCCCACTTACACACACAGGCTTGAATCCTAGGAATAAAAAATYCCTTGGGCAGGCCTGGAAAGGATTCCAAGGGAGCTTGATGAAGTGAGAATGTGCAGAGGGTGGGGATATCCAGAGTGCCCACAGGATCTCTCTGGCATTCTTTCACCTTGTGGGCTCATCCTTAAAGCGTGAATCTAGCCCTCGATCCAGGTTTTTCTGGAATTTCAATCCCCTGCATGGAAAAAAAGCCCTGGAAAGGGCCCCACCTCTCATCTGCCAGGTGTGTTTGGGTTTTGAGCACCTGATTTGAAATTCAGACAGTGCCTGGGACACTCGAGGGCATCCCAGGGAAGCGGCTGAGTGGGAGGAGCTGGTGTTGCTGCTGCACGGACAGGCGCTGGAGCAGAACTGAAGGGATGCTCCATGGGATCAAACTGTCCATTCCCTTCTGCCCTTTCACAGGATAAATTGTCTCTCCTGTCTCGTAGAGAAGGCCAGGCTCAGGTTTTTCTTGAAATGCCTTTTGTGATGGGGTGTTTCAGTAGCCACAATGTGGTCTCKGTAGCCCCTTGGGAATGCTGGGAATGGCCAGGAAGGGGCTGGGGCAGGGATTGCTCAGGAATAGGGGTTTGATGCTGACCACACGTGTTCTAACTATGGAAAATCCTTGGAGGTAATGCCCCACAGGGAAAAGGGAGGAGAAGGGAAGAGGMGGGAGAAGTGCCAGGTAAAGGAGGATTTGAAATGTCGGTTAACACAGGCTGGAATAAGCCAATACCTCACTTTAAYGTTGCTGATTCTAGAATTAAAGAATGAGTTGGGTTGGACATCAGSAGSAATTTCTGCATGGAAAGGGTGCTCAGGCCTTGGCAGGGGCTGCCCAGGGAGCTTTGGAGTGCCCATCCCTGGAGGTGTCCMAGGAAGGGCTGGAGGTGGCACTCAGAGCTCTGGGCTGGGGACAAGGTGGGGATGGGCACRGCTTGGACTCCATGGGCTGGGAGGGCTTTTCCAGCCTCAGTGGAAATTCTGGGCTGTGCAGGAATGCTGAAATGCCACCTGCAGTGAAGGAGGTGATCGCAGGGACCAGGGGGTGCAGCACTGGATGYCCTGGGGAATAAGGCCTGGGTCCCTGAGGATTCTGCACTGCGTTTCATGCTTTTCCTGTTTTTTCTTTCTCTGTCTTTCACCTCAGAGTTTTCCTGCTGAGGTAAACTCTAATTTGCTSGTAGGATTGCTGTGCTCTGTGAGATGATGTCTTTCCATTCCCAAGGAGAACAAAGCCACCAATGTATTTTTCCCCCCCTTTTTGGCTCTGCCACTGAGGAAAAACATCCTCAGAGACCCACTCATGATCTCAGGAACATAAGGCCTGCTTTGGGTTTCAGTTGCTGCCTTCTACTTTTAGTGGTTCTACTGAGAA